ATGAATCACTCATGAAGGCTCAAATCAACCTTAATAAATCTATGAATTGCCTTGGATTGTGACTCGTTTAAGCATTGCAATAATAAATTGTACGTGCTAGGCGAGACATTCATGGGCCTCCCCACGCTCCATCCATCGAGTCTGCATCCTGACACATCTGCACTTAAAAAAAAAGATTCAAACCACACTATTTGCGCCGACGAACACATGCAGAGAGAACTCCTTTTAAATATCTGCCTAGTCTGTTCAAGATTATCTTCTTAATTTGATAATTTGTACCAGACTTAAATGCACCAAGTTAGCGATTTTGGCTACGAAAGAATTATTACGCCTCGAAATTTTTACTGTAAAATGAGGTAACCTAGCTACCAATGGAGTACGGCATTTAAATTCTTAAAGTCGAAGTACCCCATCAGAAAAATTACAATTAAAGTATTTATAGAAACGGCACAGGGAATCTACGTTACGGCATTTGCAAAGGCATTGAAGCCAAGATGCCAGATGAGGATTTTTAAAATTGCATATTCTTTTTTGTATTTTATCAAGAATCTCTAAATCTATAGAAGGAGCACCAGACGATATATGACAGCAATATTAAATGCAAGAACGAATGATTGATCTATCTATCTATCTATCTATCTATCTATCTATCTATCTATCTATCTATCTATCTCATGTTGTCTGTCTGTGTGTCTGTCGTGGGCGTTGTTACCTCCCCCAGGCCGCATTTCTCACCCGATTTCGATGCGGTTTTCACCATAAGTTTGCAAATGGCTGCCGTAAGGATATGATGGAGCCCGATTTTTGAGTTCGGACTCAGGTTCCGAAAAAATCGATAATCGAAAAAATCTGCTTACAGAAGGAATGCTCGCATTACAACCAAATTAGAATCTACCATTAGAAGTGTTGTCCAGAAGTTTCATGACCAAGGACCCCTAAACAGCGCGGAAAATCGATAACACCCAAAAACCGATACGCCCAGATTGCGTCTGAACCGCATGTCGGTTTTTAGCGAAAACTGACCAGATTTATGACGAGGCCATTGGGAGTCATCATGTGAAGGAGCCATTTGAAGGGTTTGAAGGCCCAAGGACAAACTCTGTCTGTCATTGATGTACACTTTGAGAAGCAGTGCTTCTCAGACGGCAAACGTCTTTACGTAGCTTGCTCTCGAGTCGGCAGGCGCAAGGATGTGTTCCTTTATTCACCCTCGCAAAAAGCTGAAAATGTGGTCTACACTGAAATCCTCAGCCAGTGATACGCAAACCCCATTCCATTTTTCCTTTTCATGCAAGAAAATTGCTGTATAATTCGTACAATTTTTAATCAAGCACGGGCAACGCCGGGCCATGCTGCTAGTAGACATATAAATTTGTAAGATGCCCTTGAGAAAAATTGTTTAGCACAACACATTGAACCAACTTTCCTAGCAACAGACCAAGAAATTGATTCAATATAATCTTTTCACTTCATGTCACTTACTATTATCCGGTTCGTATCGACTAAAATGCAAGAGTTATGTTTTGAAACACAAAAATTATACAGCATTTGGAAAATATGCACGGACATGTTCCGCAGCAAATTCATGAAGTTTGCTTCGAGAATATGTCCCCACAGAGAGGAAAGTATTATAAACACATTCCAGTGGCTTGTGGCTATTTCTCTATAAAAAGGACAAGAAAAGCAGACATTACTTCTACTAAATCATGGTTCTCCACAATTTCCTATCTTTTGTAGCTCTTTATAAATGTCATTTCGCTATCTCTTCTAATCTTTCAAGCTTACAGATGTTATGTGTTGTTTTCCTGTCACTGTAAAATTTTCCAAACCCACTTTTCTTTGTCTTTTGATTCATGACTATCTAGGCAGACGATTTTCCCGCAGTAGCTTGCTGTTTCTTTCTGTGGTAGACTGGTTGCCTACCAAAACTATAAGACCCAAGCTGTCCTGCTATTCAACCTTGATAACAGCAGTAAATCAGTTAAGTGCCATGCGTGATGAGATGAGACGAGATGTCTTCATGCCTTTCCCAGGGTTATTTGCGCGTTTGTGAATGTAATGAACTTGACTGGAATTCGATCATGGCTCTTTGATTTCTCACTTCGAGTTGATATCCTCCATTACACCACAGCGAACATCTGATGTTAAGCTTCCTTTTTGTTTCCATTTTCTCTAAACTCTTTAATTACTTACATTTTCAATGGCATTCTGAGAATACTTCTGTAAAACCAACTTTCTATTGCTTCAACTCGCTTCTTCATCTGACATGAGTTTACGCATCATTCACTGCCATATGCAGAGTGCAATGGGTAAATTGCCGCCATTTTACCTTTTTAAATTGGCGCATGCGCGTTGTTTGTTTTTAATTTTGTCGGCTGTACACTAGAGTCAGTGAGAAAAAGAGCACCATGACGCAATTCACTCCGCCAGAAATTTGAAAACGGCTTGGCATTACAAACATTTCAGAGTGTTTGGGTGACAATCTGAGAACAGTGCAGAGGATTTGGATACAGTTGGATGAGTCTAATGGTGATTACAAAGGTGTTTGGTGTGATCACTAGCGATGGCGACGTTATGCCTCCATCCATCTTCCCACAGGGCCTCGGACTAACCAGGGAGACCTACATGAAGTGTAGTCAGGTAGTGCTGCCCTAGGTCAAGAGGGTAGCTGCTGGGAGACCCTATTTCTGGCAATAGAACTCCGCACCATGCCACACATGCAGGAGAACCCAGTCATGGCTGTCAGACAATTTCTGCAACCACATCACCCCTTACATCTAACTCCCTAGACTGCAACCCCCTTGATTATTATGTTGAATGAGAGACAAACAAAACTCCTTGTAAGACCAAATATGAAGTGAAGGCAAAGATTTTGGTAGCATTTATCAACTTAAACAAAGAAACCGTCCAGAAGATTTGCAGCAGATTCTGAAGTCGTCAGGAGGCCGTGACTGAAGCTAATAGCCACTTGATTGAAATAATTTACGCTTTAGTATTTCAAGATATTTTTGTGTATTTTTGGTAAATATATCTGTTAAAATGAGAGGCCAATGTTATTTTCATTTTGGCGTCATTTAGATGACAATTTATCCAACCCACCCTGTATATCTGTTAAAATGAGCTGTCAGTGTTATTCAAATTTTTGCGTCATGTAGACAATTTGAGGAAGACAGATATAAGTGTTCAATATTCACTTTGCTTCGAACGAAATCTTTTTGTTTGTTAATATTTTGCTTAGTTTTTGGAAGGCATCTTTCACTATCCTGATGCTCCTTCGGATTTTGGTGATGCATTTTCCGTCCTCTGTTAAAACACCTCATAGGTATTTAAATTTCTACACTCTCTCGATTTTGATATCTCCATTTTGACCAGCATTAAAAAAAATACTGTATCACGAAGACAAAGAAGACGAAGAAGACATTCACGGCACTAACAACATGGATGAATCTGTTATAATGTCCACGTTGTTCACGGACAGCAGCTAAAATGTGCATAAGATATATATAAATTACTGTTTTTTGTTTGTTTCATCGGTATCACCTCCTGCATGGCAGTAAAGCCACTAAGACACAAGGGGGTTACAATTACGTGAATTAGGAACAGAAACATTAATAATGAGCGGGAAGGGGAAATAATAATGAAACGGACAGTATATAGTGATTGACATTGCATTTAAATTTTTGCAGATTAAAGTTGGCTGGAAAGCATGAAGCCAAAAGGGAATTCCCAATCAAGAAGTGCGAGAAAAGAAACTGCCAGCATAGAACTTACGGTTGCATCTAGCCAACCCAAGTGTAAATTCATGAGATCTTGACACCAATCTAATACTGCGCTTGAATTCAAAAAGTCTAGGTAGCAGAGCGAAAAGCAATATTTATTTGTAATGAATACAAAATGTGGCACAAGGCCAGAAGGGGGAAGGGGGAATTCTTCTGTCTTATAATTAAACTTTGTTGACTACAATTACTGACCGAAACATGCCACAATATTCCTTGCACCAAAACAACGAATTCTTACTTACCATTCTTACTACATTCACGATAATACCTCAGAATCTCCATGAAGTTCAAAATAGTCCTCTTATGTATGATTCTTGTCTGTGAGAGGAGGGGAATAAAACAATTTAAAGATCTAAACTCCAATGAGAATTTAGCATAGCGTATAGCTCATCCGAACAATTAGTATTAAAGTGAAAGTGGGAAAGTGACTGAAACAGAGCTGCCAGATCAGGATTAGTAATATTGCTGATTCTTCTTTGGATCTTATCAAGGAGTTCAAGGTAAATAGCAGGAACACCGGACCATATGCGACAGCAATATTCTAGGCATGGATGAATGGTAGGTTTATAGATCAGGACCAATAATATTGCTGATTCTTCTTTGGATCTTATCAAGGAGTTCAAGGTAAATAGCAGGAACACCGGACCATATGCGGCAGCAATATTCTAAGCAGAGACGAATGGTAGACATATATATGTAAGATAGATTCTGAAGAGGAGAATTATATTAATAGATTCATGTCGTTTCCAAGAGTATTTATACATTTTCCCAAGAGCATTCGTGTGAACTTTAATATAAAGAACTCGACCTGAATTCGAAATCTGTTCGACGATTTTTAATCAGAGCCATTAATCGTTACACTACCCGTAACGTCGTCAGTGAGGCTCGTAAAGTCTGCCAAATGCCAGTGTCTACAAATGACCTTTGGATTGGCGGCGTTGTTCCAATCGCATTGAGGCGTTTTGTACAACAAACAGACTGTTCCTGTGGCTGAATCTGCCAGGCTTTCACTGAATCTAGCATGATCAACTTTACGAGGACAAAACACCTTACGCTCTTCCAAACAGATAGGGTCATCTTGAATGAATCGCGGTAACAACAGATGAGCGGCCGCCCGTTAAGAATAGCATAGAAGATCACGCGATTACAAATAATAACAAAAGATACTGGCTTTATTTTCTTATATTATTCTAGCTATTGAGAGGCTTATAACGATATCACTTGAAACACAGGTTCTCCTACGATCACCGAAGTTAAGCAAAGTCGAGCCTGGTCAATAGCTAGATAGGTGACCGCTGAGGAATATCAGGTGCAGTAAGCTTGTTTGCACGGTTGGTATAAAGGGCTTACGGCCATATCACGTTGAAACACCGGTTCCCGCACGAATCACCGAAGTTAAGCAACGTCGAGGCTGGTCTGTATCGAGATAGGTAACCGCTTAGGAATACCAAGTGCAATAAGCTCGGATGTGTGGGTGATATAAAGGGCTTACGTTGAAACAACGGTCCTCATGCGATCACCGAAGTTAAGCAACGTCTTTCTTAGTCAATACTTAGATGGATGACCGTTTGGAAATTCCAAGTGCTGTAAGATTGGATGTGCGGGTGGTGTAATGGACAATGGCTCGGAAATGGAGAGCAGAGTTCCAATTCCAGTCGGGTTTGTTATATTCACTTACGCGAAAATACCAGGAAAGGTATGGATCCACCTCTTCTCCCCCAACTAAGGATTAATTAGTAGACCTTGTATCATTAAGTCATTATTATCTCCAAAAATTCTTATATTCTAAAAATATTTTCTGGCTTTGAATAACCTGCTAAAGGTTTATTAGATGTTAAAAACACCCTAAAAAAATAAAGATAGCTATTTGAGATGTGCGCGAGAACTTTTTTTTTTTTTATTTAAGCCAGATTTGAAATCCTAATTTTTATTATTATTGGATATGAGTATTGACAAGAGTCATTAATCTTCCAATTTGATATCTGATTTGTACCTTCCTTCTTAACACAACGTTTCGCCCGATCCATTCTACGGCTTTCCTCAAGTGTAATGCCCGTATGGAAAGGAAGAATCTCACTCGAGGAGAACCGTAGAATAGATTATTAAAATAAATAACGAAAAGCTACCCTGGTTTCTATTAATCATCTAGACGTTGCTTAACTTTGATGATCATACGGGAACCCGTGTTTCAACATGATGTGGCCGTAAGCCGTAAAAAAGTATTTCAGGAATAACACAAAATCATTTGATAAGGTACAACGCAATTTATTTGAATTTCTAGGAAAACTATTTGGGAAATACATTTAAATAATTCTGAACATACAGGGAATAAGTAGAAAAGGGCGTAAGACAAGGATACGCCCTCTCACCGGATATATTCAGCGGGGCAATCTTAAGAGAACTATAAATGATTTGTGGAATTATTGGTGAACACAAGCTTAATGATAGAAAGCGCGTAGATGACAACGTATTAACAGCAGAAACAGTAAGAAGAATCTTCTAGACAATGTATTAAAGGAAAGCAGGAAGAAAGGACTAACCATCAATTGTAAGAAGACAGAATCTATAGTTGTCAGCAAGAGGAACACTCTAAGATACGAGATATGAATAGAACAAACCAAAATCAAGCAAGTAGAGAAATTGAAATTTCTTGAAAGTGTAGTAACATGATGGAAAATCTGACATCGGAATTTCAAAGCGCATAGGTATAACGAAAGATGTCTAACAAAAGTTAAGCAAAGTATTAAACAACGGGAAAAATTAATTAAAACGAAGGAAAGGGTTGAACTGTTATATAATATTATTTCATCTATATAGATGTGAATGCTGGAAAGTTTACTCACCGGTCAAGTATAGACTTGGGGTACAGAAATTTTGTTCTACAGAATAAGGGACTGAACATGTGAGGTTAACTTTTCTTTGTATTTATGAGACAAAGTTTGGCTGACATACCCCCCACCCCAAGAAAAAGGAACTTAATTGTACGAACAAAACTTGGGACGTTAATTACACTTTTAAAAGTTACAGACAAAAAAGACCATAATGTTTTAGAGCCAACGTCTTCAATGTAAATTATATTAAAAAGGTTATGATAGACAAACATCTTTTAGAAGTTGGGTGCATTTCCTTTAGAACGAAGCAAAGATTTGAATTTATGGATTCAACTAGGTTAAAAGTCAACCTATCGGACGGCATTTAAGTTAGCTCCTGTGGAGGGCTATTGATTGGACCTTCATCACAATTGCTAGGGAGGATTAGATGCGATAGGCAACAATAAACTAGTGACGAACTCAAAATTGATTGCTGCATTAATTATTGCATTAATATTTAACCTTAAATTCAACGATGATACTTTTGCCGCCACTTGATTTAAAGACAATTTGATGTACGTAGGTCCTTACTTTCAGTAAAAAAAGCAATTATTTTTCGCTGGATTTCGCAATTAATTTTGATTATTCCCAAATATATTTCCAAGTTATAACAATTGTTATCATACAAAAAAAAATTCATAGTAAAAAAATCACGTAAAAAAAATCGCCGAAAACAATGGCAGTAATGAAAACTTGGGAATCCAAAATTTCAGGATTGCGGGTCCGAATAAGGTCCGAAATTTTTTTAATTTGCTCACGGGGTCGGCATGATTCTAAAATGATATAATATGTTCGGTTACGACCTCGAGGAGAAATGTGGAAATTGTGACACAGTGACACACTCCCATTGTCATTTATTATATAGAAGAAGGGGATTTGCTATTGAGAGTTGTATCCCTTTAATTGAAAAAGCGTGACACACTGATATTGACACATTATATAGAAGAAATCATGTGATTTTTATAGGTAATCTTTAATATCCGAATGAAATGAATACTTACAAATGATTATTATGCCGCTTTTAGTTCATTTTGTTAATGAAAAGGGTCTACACATTCTTCCTGCAACATTCCATGCCCAAAACGCAGAAATCGGGTCTCGCATGGCAAAACTTTCTTCAATCGTCGCGATGTTGCCATTCCTTATCTCAATTCTTTAACATATTTTGACTTACATTTTTCTAGTTACGACTCTGTTCGATGCCGATTGATGTGTTTAAAAAAAGGAGTTGGTTATTGGATGAAAAAAATGGAAGAAAACACCTTTGTGATGCCTCTTGTCGACAGAAGGAATTTTATTCAGACTAATAATATTTTCATTGAACTCATGTATATATATATATATATATATATATATATATATATATATATATATATATATATATATATATATATATATATATATATATATATATATATATATATATATATATATATATATATATATATATATTATATAAATTAATTGATTTAAAATATGGCTTTTATTCCGCTACACAGTTCTAACCATGTTTCAAAATGGAAGCTAAAAGCCACGAATTTAATTTTGCAATTAAATTAAAGACATTAGTTCCATTTCATCCTCAAGCGAATTTTGGAGTAACTTTTAAAATTACTGGGTTTTAAAGACACAGCTAAAATCCCGTTTCCATGGTTACAGATAAATCTACTTCAATTGGACAAGGGCTGTCTGGGTTTTCCTTATGTCTGTATTATATTGAGCACTATTTTGAAAAAAATAAAAATATCTATAAGAACACCGGATTATATATATTACTGTTCTTTCTTTTTATTTAAATGCATATATATATATATATATATATATATATATATATATATATATATATATATTATTTATTTAAATATGTTATAAAATCACTACAAAAATAGCCATTTTGTTTCAACCCCTCCGGTGTCTTATCAAGTGATGATGTTGAATGTAATATATATATATATATATCTATATATATATATATATATATATATATATAGGGATAAATTGTCGACTAAATGACGCAAAAATGAAAATAACACTGACATCACATTTTAACAGATATATTTACCAAAATTACACAAAAATAACTTGAAATACAAAGAGTATTTCTGGCCAAGTGAATTGCGTCATGGGGCTCTTTTTCTCACAGACTGTGCCCAATTGACGCTACTATATTGTGCAGTTGACAATATGAAAACAAACAACGCGCATGCGCAAAATAAAAAATATAAAATGGCGATAATCGCACCCTGCATATATATTTTTTAAAATCGCCATTGGCTTCAACCGTGGACTCCAGATGACTTCGGAATCTCCTGCAACTCTTCTGGAAAGCATCCTTGCTTATGTTGGTGAACGCTGCCATGATACTTGCCTCCACTTCATCTTTGGTGTTAAAAAGAGCTTTGTTGGTCTCGCTCAACTGCACTCAACCCATAATAATCAAGAGGGTTGCAGATTAGGGAGTTAGGTGGCCAGATATGAGGTGATGTCGTAGAAATTGTCTGAAAGCCATGACTGGATTCTTGTATTTATGTATCCACCCACGAGGATAAAATGTGGCACAAGGCCGGTTTAAAGTGGGTATCTCCGAGCCCGTAGGCTCGGCCAAAAATATGGCCTTTCTGAACCCGCCTAGACGGGTTCAAGGCCTGTCTACCACCCCGGACGAAACCCTGCAAAGCCTCGTCCGGGTTCCTCACTGCAAAATGCAGAGAGTTCGACTGAGAGTGATTCTCCTGGCATGGCATCCTATAGTCAGATTTAGGCTCTTCGAGCAGTCACCGTCTTGATTCAGGGCAGCACTACCACTTCAAAACACTTGATGTAGGCTTCTGTGTTGAGTCTGAGGCCCTGTAGGAAGATGAATGGAGGCATAACGTCGCTATCACTAATAATCACTCTAAACGTCTCCGTAATCACCATTAGACTCATCCAACTCTTTGCGAATCTTCTGCACTGTCCTCAGATTGACTCTCAAATACTCTGAAATGTTTGTACTGGTGCAGAAGTAGTAAAGCATGCCGTTTTCAAATTTCTGGCCAAGTGAATTGCGTCATGGGGCTCTTTTTCTCACAAACTGTGCCCAATTGACGCTACTGTATTGTGCAGTTGACAAAATGAAAACAAACAACGCGCATGCGCAAAATTAAAAATATAAAATGGCGATAATCGCACCCTGCATATATATATATATATATATATATATATATATATATATAACAGACAAACATATATATATATATATATATATATATATATATATATATATATATATAATAGACAAACATATATATATATATATATATATAAAACTTCAATATAATTATTTGAATTAAATTGAATTAAAGTACCAAGCTCTGTTCCATCTTCAAGCGTAATTTTTTTTTGAATAACTAATTCCTGAAATTTACGCGTTTTCGGCTCTTGTTTTGAAACATGAGAACTCTTATGTAGCGATGGAATCATATTTTTAAATAAATAATTATATATATATATATATATATATATAACTTCTATCTCATCGATGCTATACTCATTAAAAGATAAAATAGCATAATTAGACGAACAGTTTTTGAGTGTGCAATTATC